TGAAGTTACAATGGCAGAGGATGTCCCTTCGTAAACTTTTCAAGAGGAAGGGCTTGTGTAGTAGGTTCTCTGTCAGTTGGTGTGGAAACCCCATTCTGCTCTTGTTCCCTGGGGTTGAGCACTGTGCTTAGGGTACTCCCAAATAGGGATACAGGAAGACATTGTACTTCCTATACCAAGAGCTCTAGAAACACAAGGTACAATAGGTTTCCCTGACCTTGACTTGGTTGATATCCCCAGATTGTCCTTCTGGGAATGAGGCATCCCACAAGTCCTTGGAAGCTCTGGGCAGGAAGTACTGACTTGGCTGTGGTGTGTGGGGCAAAAAGACAGGCTATACCAGGGGACCCTCACATGGGTTTGCAGCTCTTAGGTTTCACGGCTTGTGAGAGCCATGATGGTCCCCACCCAGCCTCCAGCCCTGAGCACCCGTGAGGAAGAATGAGGGGCCTGTCCTACTTCCAGGTGGGCTGTCATGACCAACACCTTCTCTCAGAGGGCCCTTAGAGCTGAAGGTGAAGCTGGGGACAACAGAGAGGACTTGGCCTCCGGACTGAGAGTACACCCTTGTGTGGCTCTCTGAAAAGTCCATGTCATCCTGTCTTCTCATGCTTGTCCTGGGGGGGGCTATTCTCCAGCTCCCCTCAGTATATGCAGAGACCATCTTACACCAAGGCTGGGGACATGCTAATACATCCTGATAATTAATACTTTGTCTTTCAGAGCAGTGGCATCCCCACTGCCTTGCTTCCTTGAGGCCAGATCTAGGCCACTGTCCCATTTAAAAGTAGAACAATTCCCAAATGCAAATAAGGGAGGAACTGGCTGGTAGGTCTTGGAGCAGGAAAGGCATAAGTAAGCCCCAGGGCTGAGAGGATGGGCGAACCTATCTCTCAAGTCTTGTGGTCCTCAGTACCCCTGCCCCTTCTGCCTCTTGTTGGAGGCTGATGTGGTTACACTTAAGTCATGTAGCAGTGAGACAGTGTCAGTGGTAGGGATCTCTGAGAGTCACTGTTTGCTGGGTCCAACCTCCTAAAAGCCTGACTTGCAGTGAAGGTCAAAGGGTGTTTGCTAAGCATACAAAATGGAGCCAAAGGAGGAGCAAGGAAGTGCTTTCAGGAGTAGGGAATGGGTTTTGTCCACCAACAAGCCCTGTATGAGAGGACAGCCCTTGGGGTGGCTCAGGTCTGCCACCCAGAGTGGGGGCTGTGCTATGTTCTTGTGAAGCCCTCTCCTTCCTGTTCTTTGCAGTACAGCCTAGGCAACCAGAATGTGAACAAAGACTGGATCCACCTGTGTTGGCATTCTTCAGTGTCCCTGCCTATTACCACATGCTAATTATACAGGAGTGCTCTGGCCTAGATGGGGGAGACCTGGGAGGGGCTAGCCTCCTTCATTCAAAGAAGGTCCCAGTGTCCTTGGCAAAGTGGTGTGGGTGTGATAATTACTTCTATAGAGTGTTGGCCAAGCCAGAGAAACAGCCAGCCCTCTCTAGCTAGGGCTGCTGCTGGATTCCCTTTCTACCCTTTCAGTGGTCCCTGAGTGCAGTTGTCAGAGCCCAGAAGGAAGGCCTGTAGAACCTTTTACACAGCTGCCTACCATACATGTGGAGTTACCAACCACCAAGGCTACAGAAGGTGCTGGGGCCTACAGTTGTGCCTGAAAGGCCAGCAGAAGGAAGGTGGGTTTCAGGAGACACATGTTTATAATCCTACACTTGGGAGACAGTGGCAGGAGGATCAGGGTGGAAGAACATCCTTGGCTACATAGTGGTTTAGGCTAGCCTGGGATACATGAGACCCTGTCTCAAAACAAGCATACCTTGGGAGGCAGAGCCAGGCGGATCTCTGTGAGTTCGAGGCCAGCCTGGACTACCAAGTGAGTTCCAGGAAAGGCGCAAAGCTACACAGAGAAACCCTGTCTTGAAAAACCAAAAAAAAAAAAAAAAAAAAAAACAAGCATACCAGCTAATAATACCAGCTTCTTAAGGTTAGAGGGCCACCTAGGCCAACAAAGAACTGGTAGCCAACTGCTCCCTGGTGTGCGTGTTGGGGGTTAGGGGAGTACTAAGACTGTGCCAGCATCTTTCTGTGGCCCTTAGTCAAGATAGGGGCTCCTCAGCACACCAAGAGACTCTCTTCCCTAACAGTAGCATGGAGAGCTCCTGAGAGCGTTGCTCTTCTGCCTACCTTTCTTCTTCTGCACACTTAGCAAAAGAAGAATGTGCTGTCTCCACCCTCCCAAGAGATACTATGCTCAAGGAAGGCATCCCCAGTGAGCAAGCACCGAGGCAGGAGGAGGATAGGCTCTGGACAGGATGGCAGGAGGGATAGGTAGGGATTATAGGAACTGTGAGGCAGACAGCACTCAAGCCCATGCAGGACTCTAGTATTTTCTGGAGGAACAGGTAATCCTCCTGGAGGCAGCCCATGAGTATAGTGCCTGCTTTCACAGTGAACGTGGCAAGGCCCAGTGTTGGCATTGCATCACCTCAAGACCCTATTGTAAGCAGTTTCTGCCCCATGGGCATCTCTGCTGAGCTCAGCTTCCAGCACTCTTCCTTCCCTCCCTGCTCAGGGTTTGAATATGAGAGAGGAGCCCCGGAAATACTGGGGTACATTTCTCACAGGAGGCTCTCATGTTGCCAGGACTTGTAGGTTTGGGGGTTCTGGCATGGACACAAGCACAGGAGAGGCAGGTATACTGGGTGACCATTGTAATTTGGGACTGATGGATAGGAGCATGTGTTGCTGGGCCCCTGAACAGAATCCTGCCACCATCAGTTAACTGATGCCCCATACAAAGCCACCAGCACATGAGGCTACTGAGTCCCATGAAGTGGCATGTCTGTATTGAGCTAGAAAACAGACTAAAGTCCTTGATTAGGGCCAAGTGCTATGGTCATGCCTGTAATTGTAGTACTCAGGAAGCTGAGGCAGGAGAATCGCTAAAGGAACAGGCGGGGAGCACTTGCGGCATCTCATGCTTTATGAGCTCTGAGAGAAGCCACAGACAGCGTGTAAATAAATAAGCGCAGCCTTGTTTAGCAAAACCATTTGTAGACACTGAAATGTGAATTTCAAGCCGACATTGTAGCTAGCACTTATGATCACAGCACTTGGTAGGCAGAGGCAGGAGGAGCCTAAGTTTAAACCCAATCTGGGCTACATAGTGAGACCCTGCCTCCAGAAAAAGGAGTGTGTGTGTGTGTGTGTGTGTGTGTGTGTGTGTGTGTGTGTGTGTGTGAGAGAGAGAGAGAGAGAGAGAGAGAGAGAGAGAGAGAGAGAGAGAGAGAGAGAGAGAGAGATCAACATTTTAGTTTTAGTTCACATAAGTTTTGTTTCTCCTACCCTTCTCCTTTTGTTTTCTTTCTTTTCTTTTTTGGTTTAAAACTCGCTCTGTAAACCAGGCTGGCCTTGAATTCACAGAGATTCACCTGCCTGTGCCTCCCAAGTGCTGGGATTAAAGGTGTGCGCCATCACCACCTGGCTTGTTTTGTTTTCTAGCCATTTCAAAGTATGAATTAAAAGCTTTCAAGTCTCACACGGTCACCAAGCCAATAGGGCCAGTCCCTTGGCAAAAGCAGCCCCACACATGCTAACTCAGAAGGTAGTTGGGAAATGCTGCTTCGTGGGAGAATCAGCTAGTTCTGATTGAAATCTCTTGGTGAGAGGTTGCAGAACTACCTGGCCCCATGCCTGGGTGTGTTGGAGAGGGTTTGGGCTTGATTCTGGTGGTCCTCTCAGGTGTCAAGTGCTGACTCTCAAAGGTACTACACAGGCTGTTACCTGTCATGTGGGGCTGTCCCTTAACCTACAGTACTTTGTAGGTGTGTCTCTCAGCTCATTATATCAGTCTCCCCTCATCTACAACCCAGTACCAGAGTCAGTGTTATAGAGGCTTACTCAGAAGTCACAGAAAGTGCTGTCAGTGGGTGATAGAAAACCCAGGGGTAAGAACTGCCGAAACCAGGACAAGTTTGTGTTCTGCCCAGTCAGCGGGCAGCATAGCTACACACCTTAACCTAGAGCCCAAAGAGGGGACCCACACGCACATCCAGTTTCCCTATGTGTGTTATCTCCCCAGCTGCCAAGTCCTCCCTGTCCCAAAGATCACACTCTCAGATTTGTTTGGTTTCACTACACACACGCACACGCACACGCACACCCCGCCCTTAGCCAGCAGCTGTAAAATGGCTCTCCCTGCAACACAAGCAGTCTGCTCTCTTGCTCAGGCATGGACAGTTTCTTAGGTTCCCTGGCATTTGCCTGGTAAGTGTGTGTTTAAACAGTCAATTGCTGCCCTTCTTTTTTTTTTTTTTTTTTTTTTTTTTTTGGTTTTTCGAGACAGGGTTTCTCTGTGTAGCTTTGCGCCTTTCCTGGAACTCACTTGGTAGCCCAGGCTGGCCTCGAACTCACAGAGATCCGCCTGGCTCTGCCTCCCAAGTGCTGGGATTAAAGGCGTGCGCCACCACCGCCCGGCCAATTGCTGCCCTTCTAAAGGCACAGTTTGGTCCTGACCTCTTAGATCTTCAAGTACCATCCCGCTCTGCCCTCTGCTCCTTCACTTTTTCCTTCCCTGTGGGATAAATGTCTCCTTGACAGTTTCTTCTGTAATAAGGCAAGCCTGTCCTCCTAACTGGGAAATAAAGCCCCTCTGAGGACTAGAGACAAGTTTGAGGGGGACGATGGGTGTTTGAGATTAGGATGATAACATGAAACCCTAATATACCACAAGTCAGGGAGCTGCAGCTCCATTTGGTGCTGGCCTTTGGCCTCTGGCCTATATTCTCTTGTGGGGCTTGTCTGTGGGATGTGCCCTACAGTGCTGAGTACTTTAAAGTCATGCCTAGGTCCCTGAACCTCGCTTTCACCTTGTATACCCCCGGCCACTTGGCATGCTGGGAAACTCACCCAGGGCCTATAGTTTCATCTGTGTGAATCACACTGTTTCTTTTCTCTTTTTATTCTGTTCATTGTTGTTGTTGTCTCACTGACCAGCCGGCTGCCCTTTCTCCGGTGTGGGCACTCTCCTCTCTCCATGCTTCCGTTCGCGTGCCACCGGCCAGAGGTGACCAGGCCCGGCTCTCTACGTGGCCACTGTCAGGGGGGCCATGGGGAGCTCTGCCTCCTCCCTGGCTGCCGAGACGGAGTCAGACCACGGCTTCCCTGGGGGGCCATCCTACCCAGGACCCCCAGCAGCAGCTGGCTGGTGTAGGAGCGGCCCTGGGGAGACTGTCTGGGGAAGTGCTCTGGTCACCAGACAGCACCCACGTCCCCGGGCCCGAAGGTAAGAAGGTGGGGAGGGGCAACCCTGAGGGGTCTTAAGCAGGAGACCGCTTTTTCAATGTGTCCCTGCTTGGCACAGATGCTTGCTCAGGACAGGGCTTTCTGTTTATCAGTGCTCTCTGGCAGCTCATTCCCCTAAAGGTGCAGGAGCTCATCTGATCTGGGGTTATTGCTGCTCCTGGCTGGCAGGTCTGGGACTTTCCTTTGCCTGAGGTTCTACTATGGCTCACTGTTGAACAGTGCTTGCCCAGGGCCTGCTGAATTCCTGTGAAGGCTGTCTGGATACCCCCTGCCTGGGAGGCTGATGACTTCAGCCCTTGTAGCTAGCTAGCATGCATTAAGAGTGCTGGCTTGCTTCACAGGGTTGTCAGAATTGAACACTGCTTCCCTTCCCAACCTATGGTACCTATGCTCCAGTATGGCAGCCTCTAGGGATGCCATCTGGCTGTGAGGAACCACAGGGGCCTGCCTTTATCTGCAAGTCTTTTCTAAGGCATGCATGTCATTAATTCCTTTTGGAAGGGTTTCTGGCACCCCCTAAATATCCAGGACTCCACCTCAGAGAGGATGCAGACTTAGTAGATCTCTTCTAGAGAACCCAGGTAACACTGATCATTTCTTTACTCAGAGAAGTGCATGGCTGTGACTACTACAAACCAGCTCACTTACCCATCTGCCGGGCATAGGAAGTTAGCTGGGCATAGAACGCAGACAAGAGACTGCCTTCTGAGGTACCTTTAACACCAAGATCTGAGATGGCAGACCTTTTGGAGCTGCTGGAAGGTGGCACTGAGTCCAAATGTATGTATCTAGTAGTCACTCTAGTCACTGGGAGACTCAGGCACTGGGAACTCAAGGTCTAGAGAGACAGGACAAGTAGAACCATGGAGGGATCTTGAGGCAAGTGGGGGTACTGCACTGTTTCTCGTGTGCATGAAGGCATGACAGTGCCCCCTTCACCTTAGTATTGCAAGATGCTCCAGGCAATACCACCAATGCAAGTTTTAACTCCTTTAAGCCATTTTATTGGAATGTGACTTACACGCTGTCTTAGTTTTTCTACTGCTGTGATAAAACACCATTGGCCAAAATCAACTGGGGAGAGAAGAGTTTATTTCAGCTTACAGTTCACAGCACAGTCCATCACTGAAGGAACTCAGGGCAGAAACCTGGAGGCAGGAGCTGATGCAGAAGCCATAGAGAAGACCTGCTTGCTGGGTTGCTCCTCTTGGCTTGCTCAGCTTGCCTTATAGCATCCAGGACCACCAGGCCAAGGGTGGCACTGCCCACAATAAGTTGGGCCCTCCTACACCTATCATCTATCATGAAAATGTACCACAGGCTTGCCCACAGGCCAGATAATGGAAGTATTTTCTCAATTGAGGATCCCTCTTCCAAAATGATTCCAGCTTGTATCAAGTTGACAAAAACTCCACACACCATCAAATTCACCTGTTATCAATGTATGTTCAGGTCATTTTCAACCAGTTCATAGCTTTGTCCCAACAGCCTTATGAGTTAGTTTGCACCTGAAAGAGATCCTGTTTGCAGTCACTCCATCCGTAGGTAGCCACTGACCTGCTTCCTGTTTGTAGGTTTACCTTTTCTAGAGATTTCACATGTGACTTGGGTGTCTGACTGGCTGCTTCTTTCACTCAGCATCCTGTCCTTAAGGTTCATCCACATTGCAGCATGGACCTCCTTCCTTTACAGGCTTCAGTGGTATTCTGTTGTAAGAATAAGCTACCCTTGGCTTGTCTGCTCATGAATAGTATGTTAATTCCACTTAGCTTTTATGATGCTGCTTGTAAACATTCATGCTAAAGGTTTTTATGTGGGCATCTGTTTAATTGTTTTGGGTATATCCCTGATCTGGAGCTGCTGTGTTGGGGTAAGCTTATACAGCATTCTGAGAAACACTGCTGTCTCGGGGGTTGGCCCTCTTACATTCCCACTAACAGTGTTGGCAGGGTTCTGGTGTCCCCTGACTTCGCTAATGCTTGCTATCATCTGTCTTTGAGTCTAACCGTCCTGCAGGGTGTGCAGTGGAGCTTTACTTGATTTAATTTGCATTTTTCTGATGGCTGATGGTGTTGAACATCTCATGTTTTCGTATATGTGTGTGTATATGTATGTATGTATCTCCTGAGGAAAAAATGTTAAGAGTAGAATTGCTAGGCCTGCACTGTGGCTTTGTGTGCTGAGGCTATATGTTGGACTTGTTTTCTCAGTCTCATGTTAGTAAGCAGTGCTCCAGCAGAGAATGTCACCATGTACATGTCACATGGGTGGATGGCTCTCCTACTTTTACATTTACACACTTTTACTAAGTTCGTGTGTGTAAATGAAAGTTCAAGGGTCATTGTTGTTTAATTTTTAAGTGAAGTTTTTTAGGGGGGCAAGAGGGGTTACTCAGCATTGTGTATCACACCTATAGCTGCAGAATTTGGCAAGCTGAGGCAAGAGGCAAAGTAAGATTGCTGAGCGTTTAAGGCAGCCTGGGCCACATAGTGAGTTCCAGGCCAGCCAGGGCTACTGAGTGAGACCCTTTTTCAAAAAACAAAAGTAAAAGCACAAGATTTGGGAGGCTATAGAGTTGGCACAATGGTTAATGCACTTACCACTCTTCCAGAGGACCTGGGTTCAGTTCACACTGTGGCTCATAGCCATCTGAAACTCTGTTCCTGGGGATCCAATGCCTCTTCTAACCTCTAGGGGTTCCAGCATGTCCATGGTACATATACATACACTCAGGCACAAACACATATGCATGAAATTAAATATGTGTGTGTACATATATATATTTAAAGCACAAGATTTTTTTGAGGCAGGTGGATCTCTGTAAGTTTGAAGCCAGCCTGGTCTACATAGTGAGTTCTAGGATAGCTAGGGCTACAAAGAGAGACCCTGGTTCAAATTAAATAAATAAATCACAAGATTTTTAAATCCAGAACTATGGTCAGGCATGATAGTGCATACCTGTAATTCCAGCGTTCTAGAGGTGGAAACAAGAGGATCGGGAGTTCAAGTACAACTTGGACTATGTGAGGGAAAAAAAATTAGACATCTAGAACTGTTTGGCTGGACATCTGAGATAAAGCAAGGAGGTGGGATTAAGAGGAGAGTGGCCAGGAAGTGGTGGCGCACACCTTTAATCCCAGTACTCAGGAGGCAGAGGCAGGCGGATCTCTGTGAGTTTGAGGCCAGCCTGGTCTACAGAGTAAGTTCCAGGACAGGCTCCAAAGCTACACAGAGAAACCCTGTCTCGGAAAAACCAAAAGAGAGAGAGAGAGAGAGAGAGAGAGAGAGAGAGAGAGAGAGAGAGAGAGAGAGAGAGAGAGAGAGAGAGAGAGACCCAAGACTTGAGGATATGTCTTTACTTCATTTTACTCCATCCTCCTGCCAGGCCCTTCCCCTAAATAGGTGTCCCCAATATGTACTAGTTCCCATGGGCATCCAGGTTGAATCAGAAATCAACAGTGTTAATGATCTGGAAGAAGCCATACATATCCAAACTAGAGAGAGGATGGACATCAGAGGGTTGCTGGGCTAGATGGATGGTAGGAAGGCAGGAGGTGACACTACTCTGTGGCCACCCTTTGGGACTCCTTCCCCACATGTGTGTGTATACTCACACAGAAGTAACACAGCACAAGCATGGGAAACAGCAGCCTTTCCCCCAGCTCTTACAGGGTGCTAGGTGGACAGGGAGAAGCCTGGGGCAGAAATTAGCAGCCATAGCAGCCCCTCACCTCTCAGGACTGCCACCCCCAGCATAGCTACTACTCTCCTTTTGGGTAACACCCATTGTATGGATAAAAAGGCAGCTCACACTAGCTGAGCCCAGGTCAAGGTGCACCTTCTCCCTCCTCCACCCACTTGAGAGCCCAGTATAGGAACCCTGCTATATCCAGCCTCACCTGGCTGGTTAATCAGTAGACAGTTGATTCAGGCGTTGGCTGCCCAGGGACAGAGACAAGGAGGACACACCCATCCAGAAAAACTGAGCAGGCCAGACTGTGGTCAGCCTAGGAGAATAGCCTAGGAAGGAAGACACTACCCTTCCCCTTATACAGGCCCTCAGGACAGTCTACTCTGAGCACAAATTAGGGCTAAGAGCCTGGCAAGGGTAAGGCATGGAGCTGCTCTGTTGGTCAGGGGCATCCATCTTTTAGTGGCTAATGAGTAGCTTCCCAGTGCTTCCTCAGGATGGTAGTTTTATTGGTTCTTCCTAAGAGGGGAAAGACTCCTGCCATGACCACAGCAGGATGCAGCAACTTCTAAGTCCTCTGGGTGCTCACTCCCTGGTTACTCAGGTAAACTGTTGCAGTTTTGGAGCCTGTCACCTCCCTTTGCATGAGATCTGAGTGTTGAGATGCCCAGGAAGCTGAGAACAAAGCAAGTATTTTGAGTAGACTTCTGGCAGTTGACTCAGTTTGCTCTCTGTTGTGAGCCTGTCTTGAAGAGTTGGAATTACTTCTGTGAGCTCATGTGCCGTGATTTAGGAGTGTTTGTGTTGAGAATTCTAGAAAATCAAGTACAAAAACCCTTTTCAATTTCTTTTTACTTCTGGATCTAGGAGTCAAGCCCAGTATCTCATACATGCTAGGCAAGCACTCCGCCACCTAGCAACACTCCAGCCCTTATGTGGAGAGTTCCTCAGGGTTTGCCAAAGTCTGTATACAGATTTTATTGGGTCTTCAGCTCTACGCAGGCTTTTGCTGCAGACTCTGGTGGTGGTTCGGCCTTGCCTATGGACTTCAGGTCTTTAGCCCTGGGTCCCTTCCCAGGCCTTGCAGTATAGGACTGGCCATGGACTATGGGCATTAACCAAGTGAACTGAGGATGCTGAAGGGTAGGGGTCCTGTGAGGTTCATAGCTCACAGCTGACCAGAGTTGCCCTAAGACTCCTTGGTCTTGACAGATTTTCTGGTTACAGAAGACCCACAGCTTGGCCTCTAGACCCACAATTTGTCCTATTTCCCAGAAACAAGTTTGATCTTTAGACTTTGTTTTCTTTGGAGCTGTCCTATACTACAGATGGAGTCTTCTGATTGGGCTAAGAGTTTCCCATGTGGTTCCCCTATCTACCTCTCATCCCAGTCAGTGGCCAGGCTCCAGGTTCAGCTGGGCCAAAGCCAGACCCCAGCCACCCCGACTGTTCCCTGAGATGAATGAGCACCTGGACTTCTTCCCTAGTCATTTTTCTTTTTGCTAGGACAGACCTACCGTGAGGGAAGAAAGACTCTAGCTTACGTTTCTGTGGTCCATATTCCATTGTGAAGGGAGGAGGTTTGCCGGGGGAAGTCAGGGGCATCTCAGAGAGACCAGAGTGACCTGCCTGCCTCTGCCTTCTGAGTGCCGGGATTATAGGCATGAGCTACCACACCCGGCTCATGCCAACATTCAAGTCAGCCTCTTAACTATAAAGTTTATATAATTCCAACAGACAGTGGCATAGCGTAAGCATACCTCAATCCAAAAGAGAGGAAATGGGGCATACAGAGTAAAACAGGGCCAAGGAAAACCAAACCCCAAAGTCTGAACTCTGTCCTGCACCTGTAGCTTATTGTGACATTCTCTAGACTCCACCAGCCTTGTGCCATCCACAGCACACACACAGCCTCTCTCTTAAGCCAGCTCCACTCTGTTCGTGCACCTCTCCTCAGCAGACATCCTGTGTCCTGGCATTCCCACTGTCGCGGGTGTTCATTGCATCTTGGAGTTTACCGTCACAGCACTGTGCCTTCTCAAGGCCTTGCAGAAAATGTGACTAGGTATTCAGATATGTAAGCCTATGGGGCCATTTTCATTCACACCATCATAAAAGGTATACAGTTATTCAAGGAAAGCATGGCCGTGGGAGCATGAGGCAGCTGGTTGTGTTGTCTGCAGTAAAGAAGCTCATGCTTTCTCCTTTTTTTCTTTTTTAAATACTAATTTATGTTGTGTGTGTGCGCATGCGTCCATGCCATGGCTCACTTGTGGAGGCCAGAGGACACTTTATGAGAGTTGGTTCTTTCCTTCCACCATGTGGGTCTCCAGATGTCAAACTCAGGCCTTCCTTCTCCCCTTCTTATTTAATCTGAGATCCCAGTCTATGGGATGGTGGTGCTCACATTCAGAGTGAGTCTTCTGGGCTAGGTGTGGTGGGACATGCTGTTAATCCCAGCACTCGGAAGAGGTAGGGGAGTCTCTGTAAGTTTGAGGACTGCCTGGACTACAGAGTGGGTCTTCCGTCTTCGGTTAAACCCCTCTAGAAACACCCTCAAAGATACTGCCAAATGTATCTTCTGTGTGATTCCAAATCCAGTCGAGTTGACAGTAAACATTAATTAACCATCACAACCTTCCTCAGCCTGTACGGTCAGTGGCCTAGGGCTGAATCAGAGAATGCCCCGAGAGTCCCCTAGGACATTTCATGAGGATTGACTTCCCTCAGGAGATTCCTGGGAAGGGACCTGTCAAACTCACTGTGGCCCACCAGGACCCTCTGGGATACCCAGCCTGCTTGTGCTGTGAAGTAGATGTGCAGGTGGAGACAGTGGTGCTCTCATATGAGAGGGGTGTCAAGGGGCATCCTCTCTGCTGGCACACACTGTGTTCCGTCCTTAACCATGAGCCCTCACCACGTAAAGGAGTTCAGGAGAGGGGTCTGGTGATCTCCAGGCTCTGAGCTGAGCCTAAGCACCTCTCTACCTGTCCCTCCTAGGGCTACCCAACCTACACAGGAAGGTGGAATCAGAACCAACTCTGGGCCCCTAGGCAAGTTGTATTTTGGAGGGAAGAATTTTTTTTTCTGAAGAAGAATGTTTTCCTTCTTCTTGAACCAAAGGTTAGAAGCATAAGCTTCGTGCTTCATTGTAAAAAGCAATTGATTTTCCTAGAGGCAGAGCAGCTATGGTCAGTTCAAACAATGGGTATTGTGAAGGTTATTTGCAGCTCAGCCCTGTCAGGGAGCCTAGCACCTTTCCAGCCACCTGAGGGAACCGTCCTGGGAGCAGGCAGTCAGGCCAGGAGCACAGGAAACCTGCCTCCACACAAGCACAGAGACTGCACTCCATGTACTCTATGCGTTTGTCCCAAAGCCCAGAAAAATGTCAAGTTTTGGGGATAATGCAAGGTGCAAGCCTCATAACCTCAACCTCCGTCCAGGCTCACCCTGTGTTTGCTTTATATCCTCACTGTGCTCAGGTAGCCTTTCCAAGAAATATCCATACAGCCTTCCAGTACTCACTGCCACCCTGCTACAAGCCTAGTGGTGTGGAGTATGCCAAGCCCTTTGGGAACAGGCCTGAATGCCCAGGTGCAGGCTCCGATTCTGCCCTGAACTGGGACTGGATGGGCGGAGCTACAAAGCTGAGGATGCACACTGGGCAAAGGCTTAAATTGTTCTTGACTGATGACCACCCCACCCCTATCCCTCCTGAACATGTTCTAGAACAGAACATTGCTGACCCCAAGTTGGCCACCCTTTCCACATTGCTGGCTCTGCAGCCAAGCAGACATCTCCCAGTCCCAGTCACCCTCCATGGAAAAGTGGTGTCCTGTTGCCCATGGAACATTGTGACTTTAGGCCTCAAAGGAGCCACACTAATCAGGTTCTTCCCTTGCAGCCACACACATTCTCCTGGGTCTATGGCCACAGTTGGGGAGTGGTCCTGTGCGCGCTGCACCTTCCTGAACCCTGCCGGCCAACGCCAGTGCTCCATCTGTGAGGCCCCCAGGCACAAGCCAGATCTTGACCAGATCCTGCGGCTCAGCGTAGAGGAGCAGAAATGGCCCTGTGCACGCTGTACATTCCGGAACTTTTTAGGCAAAGAGGCTTGTGAAGTATGTGGCTTTACCCCAGAGCCTGTTCCTGGAGCCCCTCTGCTGCCCATTATCAATGGGGTCCTGCCCAAGCCCCCCACCGTACTGGTGGAACCAAAGGGCAACTGCAAGGAGGAAGCAGGTCCTGTGCGGACAGCAGGGCTAGTGGCCATGGAGCCAGCCAGAGGGCACTCTGAGGAAGAAGAAGAAAAGGAGCAGGAGGACGAAGGGAAAGGGGCAGAGCCTGGCAGTGGCTGGGCATGCCAGCGCTGTACACTGCATAACACACCAGTGGCCAGCTCTTGTTCTGCCTGTGGGGGACCCCGGAAACTGTCATTGCCTCGCATCCCCCCAGAGGCCCTGGTGGTTCCCGAGGTTGTGGCCCCTACTGGCTTCCATGTTGTTCCTGCTCCATCCCAGCCTCTCCTCCCTGGGGAAGGTGCTGAGGCTGATTCTCCTTCTACCAGCCAGGGTCCCACCTCCACTGACCAGGAGCCCCCCAGGGTACCACCCTTCAGCCCCTTCTCACCCACCCTACAGAACAACCCTGTGCCCAGAAGCCGCCGGGAGGTCCCCCCTCAGCTTCAGCCACCTGTGCCTGAGGCTGCTCAGTCCTCGACCTCCACAAGCTTCAAAGGGCCCTCCCAGGGCCCTGGAAGAGCTGCAGCTGGGGCCTCCCGCCTTGCTGAGCTGCTCTCAGGCAAGGAGTTGCTGTCAGGCAAGCGACTGAGTGTATTGGAGGAGGAGGAGGCCCCAGAGAGCAGCCCTGCCCGCTGTGAGTCGTGCAGTGATGTCATTGACCTGGCTGGAGACACTGTCCGCTACACACCTGCCAGCCCCTCCAGCCCTGACTTCACCACCTGGTCATGTGCCAGGTGCACACTTAGGAACCCCACAACAGCCTCCAGGTGTTCAGTGTGTGGTGGCTCCAAGCTGCATGGTTTCCAGGAGCACAGTGAACCCCCTTCCCACTGCCCCGACTGTGGTGCCGACAAGCCTGGCCCCTGTGTTGGCTGCTGTGGACGAGCTCCCTCAGCACATAAGGCTGCCCGTCTCTTGCCTGATGGCCTGGGCCAGTGGGCCTGCCCTGCCTGCACCCTGATCAACACACCTCGGGCCAAGCACTGTGCAGCCTGCCACACACCACAGCTTCTAGTGACCCAGTGCCGGGGGGCTACACCCCTGAGGCGCAGGGAGAGCATGCATGTGGAGAAGCGGAGGCAGACAGACGAGGGCGAGGCCAAGGCACTCTGGGAGAACATAGTGGCTTTCTGCAGAGAGGTAAGTAGCCTCTTTTCTGAGGCTGAGAGCTAGCTTGGCCCAAGGTAACTAACATTTACCTCCACTATTCATGTCACACTCCCTCAGCTCACATGCCCAGGAGGATCCCAGACCTCCCATGTGTAAACCCACAGAGAGATGAGGATACAGTGAGACTGCCCTACACAGGGCAGCATGCCCTGGGACAGCTCAAGGCTGGGATACCTGGTGTTCCATATGAGCTGCAGAGCCTGAACCCTTGGGTCAGCTGAAAGAGCAGCTGGAGCTGTGCCATCTCCCAGGCTAGCATGCTCACTGTGGCCTGCTTGCCACTGGCCTGCAGTGTCATGGGCAGGGAGGCCATGTGTCCCCATGACCACTCAGGATCGTCCATTCAGGGTTGCCTAGCACCAAGTTTGGTATAATGCGCAAGAGCCCCACCCCAACCTTCTAAAGCTCTCTTGGGAGGGTGGGGTCTTTCCCCCAAAAGGTAGAGTGGAATCATTCTGGGCCTGCGGCTGCCCTGCCCAGCCTGAGTGTCCGGCCATGGTCCCTGCAGAATAGTGTGAACTTTGTGGATGACAGCTTCCCCCCCGGGCCTGCATCTGTCGGCTTCCCAGTGGGCGACAGCGTCCAGCAGCGAGTGAAACAGTGGCTGCGGCCCCACGAAATCAACTGCTCTGTCTTCAGGGACCACGGCACTCCGTGGTCAGTCTTCCACACCCTGAGGCCCTCTGACATCCTACAGGGGCTGCTGGGGAACTGCTGGTGAGGCTCCAGGTTCCTGCCAGGGACAGACAGGCTCAGGGGAGGATGGCGGCTCCTGGTCCAGTTCTGGGCATGTTGTGAAGTTGTCTGGCTCCGTCCAGGTTCCTGAGTGCGTTGGCAGTACTGGCTGAACGTCCCGACCTCGTGGAAAGGGTGATGGTCACACGTAGCCTATGCGCAGAGGGTGCCTACCAGGTACGGCTGTGCAAGGACGGTACGTGGACGACAGTGCTGGTGGACGACATGCTGCCCTGCGATGAGGCTGGCTTCCTGCTCTTCTCACAGGTGGGACAGCAAGGTGGGAGGCAGGGTCGGGAAACCGGGCAGCCCGTGACTCTGATCCCTCCCCCAGGCACAGCGGAAGCAGCTGTGGGTGGCCCTCATTGAGAAAGCGCTGGCCAAGCTGCACGGCTCCTACTTCGCCCTCCAGGCAGGGCGCGCCATTGAAGGCCTGGCCACACTCACCGGTGCGCCCTGTGAGAGCCTGGCGCTGCAGGTCAGCTCCACTAACCCCCGAGAGGAACCTGTTGACACTGACCTCATCTGGGCCAAAATGCTGAGTTCTAAGGAGGCTGGGTAAGAGACAGTCACTGCCATGGTCTGTGGCATTGTGAGGAGAAAAGAGGTAGAGTGGTGGGAGAGGTGGGGAGCAGTACCCTCTGACTGCCTGCAGCTAACATGGTGCTCTAGTGCAGCTAGCCATCGCCAAGAAGTCTAACTGGTACTCCATTCTAGGTAGCCACCCTGGGAAGAGCCCAGATCTCATTACTTCCCACCTAGGAAAAGGCAAGCGTCCACAGAGGGACCCTGAGGAGGGGGAGGAGGTGTTCTGAGACATGCCACACCACGGTCAGCACTGTGAATCTTGACATCTCTTTCTCAAGACCTAGAAGAGTCTAGACCCAGAGACCTACAGAAGCCCTAGACCTGGTAGTGGATGTCAAAATCCCTGCCTCCAGCTGAACCATTTCAGGCCTAAGCCTTCAGAAACCAGCTTGTTCTAGCCCAGGCATTCTGAGCTCATCCATAGTGGGCCAGTACTTCATGAAAGCATATGTCACGTGGGTCCCAGACTGTACCCCCATATTCAAGAAGGTCCATCTCCCCTGCTACCTATCCATTCCATCAGCCAAGGTCACTCTGCCCACACAGGTTCCTCATGGGTGCCTCCTGCGGAGGAGGTAACATGAAGGTAGATGATGCTGCTTATGAGAGCCTGGGTCTGCGCCCCCGCCATGCCTACTCCATCTTGGATGTTCGTGATGTTCAGGGCTCCAGGTAAGGGTCCAGCTGGCTGAGGGTGGACAAGTGCGTGAACACAAGGCACATAGTCTTGGTTCTCAGTCCTGTTATCTACAGGCTCCTGCGACTCCGGAACCCATGGGGCCGTTTCTCCTGGAATGGCAGCTGGTCGGATGAGTGGCCACACTGGCCAGGGCACCTGCGAGCCGAACTCATGCCACATGGCAGCAGCGAGGGTGTTTTCTGGATGGAGTATAGTGACTTTATCAGGTACCTGGATGCCCTCACCTGTCCCATGGGCAGATCCGCAGGGAGCTGGTCTAGATAAGCAACTTGTCCATGTCCCAGCTCCTGCCGGCCTCTTAAAGGTAGCTCTTGGTCTGGCCATGGAATTTAGGTCTATATAAAGCAGGGCGTGTGTGTGTGTGTGATTCTGCGCCCCCATGTTGTTCAGGAAACAGTCAGTTCACTACCGATGTGACAGCTACTGGAGAGGAACAGTTTAAAAGCAGGTGTGAATAGGTATGATAGCATGCACATCTGTATGCATGGATAGCATGCACATCTGTAATCCCAGTGCTCCAGCAGCTGAGGCAGGAGGATCCCAAATTCCTGAAGTACATAATGAGTTCCAGGCCAGCCTAGGCTATATGAGACCCCATCTCAAAAACAAAAGCAAAACTTAATTTGCTCATGGCTTCAAAGATTTCAGCACATGATCAGCTGACTCCATTGCAATCGATCTGGTAAGGCAGAAGGGTATGGCAGAGCAAAGATGCTTACCTCATTGCCTCCAAGAAGTAGAGACAGACAGGAAGAGGCCAAATATGTCCTTCAAAGACCAGGCCTCCAGTGTCCTACTTCCTCCAACCAGGTACCACCTCTTGATAGCCTGTTCATTCATCTTTGAACTCATCCATGGCTTCACCCGCTGATGAGGTCAATTCCTCCTGATTGCAGTAGCATCACCAGCTAGGGACCATAGCAGGGTTCCCTCCTAGAGAAGGGCTTCCTGCTTATCAGTCCTTTCCTGGAGAGATGCCAGGGGCCCCCAGTGCAGGGAGGGAGTGCTAGGAGACAACCGAAAGAGAGCAGTGAAGCAGGGAGACTGCCATGCATGCTGAAAGCTGAGCAACAAAGGCCCATAGTGTGAGCACTGCATCCCAGAGCTGGAGCATCGAGCTGCACTCTGCTCAGTCACCCTTTTTCCTCACTGTCTAGGTACTTTGACTCTGTGGACATCTGCAAGGTACACTCAGATTGGCAGGAGGCACGGGTTCAGGGAAGTTTCCCAAGCACTGCCAGTGGACCAGTGGGTGTGACGGCACTCACAGTGCTGGAGCGTGCCTCACTGGAGTTTGCCCTGTTCCAGGAGGGCAGCAGGTAGGCAACAGGTTGAGCACTATACCAAGCTAGAAGCTCATGGCTATGGCCACATGAGCACCTAGCCTATTATCTCTGGCCCTCAGGCGCTCGGATTCAGTAGACAGCCACCTCCTGGATCTGTGCATCCTGGTGTTCCGGGCCACTTTTGGCACTGGTGGCCGCCTGAGCCTGGGCCGCCTCTTGGCCCACAGCAAACGTGCTGTTAAGAAGTTTGTGAACTGTGATGTCATGCTGGAGCCTGGCGAGTATGCTGTGGTGTGCTGTGCCTTCAACCACTGGAACCCTGCTCCACCAGGGCCCCCTGCCCAGGGTAAGGGCCCCAGCCAGATGAGGCCCACACCCACCTTCTCACCCTCCGAGCCCCAAAGCCCACCCACGGGAAAGCTGTTGGCTCCCTTATCCACACCCCCCACAGCCTCCAGCCCCTCAGCAGGGGTCCCCCGAGGTGCCCCCGAGCCACCCGGCCACGTACTCGCAGTGTACAGCTCCAGGCTGGTCATGGTGGAGCCGGTGGAGGCGCAGCCAACCACACTGGCCGATGCCATCATCCTGCTCACTGAGAGCCGGGGCGAGCGGCATGAGGTGGGTGGGGTCCTGATGGGGGAGGGCAGCGGGTGGGCAACCACCAGCCCTGGCCCACCCACCCTGTGCCTGTGCCCAGGGCCGAGAGGGCATGACCTGCTACTACCTGACTCATGGCTGGGCGGGGCTCATCGTGGTGGTGGAGAACCGGCACCCCAAGTCCTACCTGCACGTGCAATGTGATTGCACCGACAGCTTCAACGTGGTGTCCACACGTGGCAGCCTGCGTACCCAGGACAGTGTCCCACCCCTGCACAGGTGGGTACCTGCTATTTTTTTCCCCTACCCTAGGCCCTGGTCTCCCACTGGTCCTCATCAGCCTTGTCCTGCAGGCAGGTCCTGGTGATCTTGTCCCAGCTGGAAGGCAATGCTGGATTCTCCATCACCCACCGCCTGGCACATCGCAAGGCAGCCCAGGCCTTCCTCAGCGACTGGACAGCCTCTAGGGGTACCCACAGCCCCCCACTCACACCTGATGTGGCTGGTCTACATGGACCCCGGCCACTATGACTACAGTTCCCTAGGGCAGGGGCTATGTGCAGATCCACCCACCTGCCCTCCCCTACATGCACTTTATGAGGGAGACCCCCAATGGAGGATGCTTGAACCAGAATCTCAGGACCCTGCCCAGGGAGCCACCGGCTACAGGGTGCAGCCTCCCCTGGGCCTCCCTCCCCTCCTCCTGCACCCCAATTACCCTCAGTCCCCACCAGGCCTCCCAGCTGCCATGCAGAATACCTCGAGCCGGGTGGGTTTCATTCCAGTACTTCTGTCCTGAGCCCTGGGGACAGCTTCAGGTGGCCAAGGCCCAAATGGGCTGCCCTTCCCTATGAATATGGGGTCACTTGCTATAGAGAGGCATCCCAGATATGTGTTCACAGAACCAAATCTGGGGGCTCAGAGGCCATGATCCTGCCTTGAGAACCTGGGTAACCCTTTGTGGGGGCTCCGATCTGCCGCTTCCCCCCTTGGTTTGTTCCCAAGCCCAGCTCCTTGCCTAATGAGCAGGGTCCTGATAGCCCTGGCACATGAGCAGCGCATTGCAGGAAGCAGATGCCTGATGGCCATCAGCCAGGGCTTGGGGACAGCTGCCCCTCCTGCAACACTATGCAATTCCTGGAGCACCTGCCAGGATCGAAGCCATGATGGGGTGGCAGGTCGGAAGCCAGACCCAGCCCGGCTGTCTGGAGAAGCGCTTTGTCCTTAGCTTCCCTGGCCACAATCGGCACTGTCCCATGGCCTCAGTCTGTCCACAAAGAAGGACACCCCCACCCCAGTCCCATTACAGGCACATGTAAGGTGTGACTGATTACTCCCTTCCCTAGATGAGGGAGCCAAGCTGCCCACCTGCCCAGCATTCCCCTAGCTGCTTGTCAAGATCAGAGCCCTTATCTGCCACATGGACGCCTGAGTCATTTCCTGTGCCCCCCCCCCACCTGGCTGCCACTGTCCTGCAGCCCCCTAGGTAGTGGGCAGCTCACACACCCACTATCCTTGCCTCCATGGGGCTTGCGAGGGTTTTTATACCTAAAGAAACACTCCCCTCCCCTCTGGGCCTCCTTTTACTCTGAGCTGTGAATATTTTTAACCCTGTAAATAGGACCAGCTCTTCGAACACAGAGACTATTTTATCAGCTATCAGTCCCTTCCTTGTTCGATGACTCCATAGGCCGTTTCCACTCAGGCTCCAAGGACCAAATAAAAGCGTTTTGTTTTGTAAGGGAGCTTTCAGTCTTTTGTCACCCTCCCTGTCCCTACACACACAGAAACAAGCTATTCCAAAGGCCAGTGTGGGGGTCTCCTGGATAGAACGGTACAGAAGAGTACCGGGGACTGTGGGGTGACGGTTCGTGCTTCTGCCTGAGGTCAAATGAGCTGTGAGCCAGCCAGATCCTCAAGAAGTAGTGAGTGTCCAGGTGAAACAGGCTGGAGACAGACCCTAGGGTCTTAGCCCCTCAACCAGGTAGGACCAACATGGTGGGCAGGACAACATGTGTGCAAGTGTTTTTTCCCTTCCTGCACTGGGGGGATGAAGGCTGTCTGAATCCATCAGTCACCAAGAAGGAGCAGATGGAGCCAGAGGGTGAGTGGGACTGTAGCTGCTGCTGTCTTCTTGGCTGCTGTGCTGTGGCCCCTCCCAGCTCGGTGCAGACTGGGCCCATCTCCTATCACAGGTGACGCTAAGCCGCTCAGCCCATCTCTGGCCAGCAGCCCAGGCCCCTTCAGGAGCTAGAGGATGCCCCTGGGCAAGCGGGGGGCTGGGGGTTCACGGCCGGAGAGCACCGCGTAAGAGGCCTGTCACAGGCCAGCCCATCGAATGTGAAAGCAATTAAAGCCACCAGCAGTGTTCGCTCCAGGCGGGCCTCGGGCAGCGGGGCAGCTGCCACAACACATCTCACCTCGCCGCCCACAGCGCCTTCCCTGCCCCGATGCGGCTGCGCACCAGGCTGGACCTTCTCCTCCAGTGGAGGGGCAAGACTTGCACCGATGCATACTTGTGGCAGGAGCCAGCTCTGGGCACCTTTGCCAGCTAAAGATCAGTTCCCCTTTCTTCTTCCCTACTCTACCTGGCACCCACCACACTGGCCTCTGCAGCTCCAGCCCCAGAAAGACTCAAGACAGGACTCTGGTGTCAGGGCAAGATGGAGGTCCAGCGGCTGCATGCTCACCGACTCTGGTTGGTCCCAGCAAACACCTTCTCCGTGGACTCCAGCATATGGGGGAGGGGAACAAAGGGGCATTCAGAGGGGAGTTGTATATATATAAGCAAAACTCTTTGGTTAGTATTGGGAGGGGGCTAGAGCTCCTCAAAAGGCTGCTGAAGGCTTGATTCTGGTTAGGGTGAGAGGCCTGGAGGAGGGGGATGGGCAGACTAGTCAAAGCAGTAGACCTGACATCATAGCATCAACATGCTAGGCTAGACTGGGGTGGATTGTCACGAGCAGGAGGTCACAAAGCCCACGAGCAACAGGACTCGTCACGGAAACAGTGGACAGGAGAGTTGGAAAGGGCTCTGCCCCCTTGTCTCTGTCCATCTCATCCTCACTTCTCACAGCTTTTCCATATTTCTTCCTAAATCCTAATTTTCTGATAGCCATCAACATGTTCCTGGCTTCCCCAAATTCCTGGTCCCTATTGGTCCTGTGTCCCCATGGCTCTTTCTCCTGGGTCCACCGTCTTCATTGCTAGCCATTATGGCCTTCTCAGGGCGGGCAGTGGCATGTTCTCACTTGTGAGGCATCCCTGTCAGAAGCACTTAGTGTACAAATTAGCCATGGCCTCCCTGCCTCCCTATGCACAGCTCTGGGCGCTGGGCTGACAGGGCTGCAGCTCCCGGCCTTCTTCCACCTGCCCGGGGCACACAGCAGCCTGGTGTGGACCCCTGGCCACCACCCACAACCAAGCAGGAGGTCCCTCCCTGGTGGCCAACCAGGAATCTTCTCCTGAACCCCAACTTTGAGCTAAAAGGGGTGCCCACCACAGGGTTTATTCAGTGAAATTCTAGGGGCTTCAAAGCTGAGGCCCAGCCTTTGGATTACTCCAAGAGTGGCAATCCCTGGTGTTGAGGGCAGTGGAAGGGCCTGGAGATAGGGCCAGCTCACAGGCCCCCACTGCCCCACCCGCCATCCTGCCTGCCATTCAGGCAGGGAAAATCATCTGTGACAGGCCCAGGAAGGCTGGCCCCGGGGGCCGCAGAGCAACGCACACAGCTCCACTTCCCAACATATGGCTGCTGTCGGCCCCAGGCACTGCTCAACCAGTGCCAGGCTCAGAGACGGGGTGGGGGCTTGGGCAGCCTGAGCTTGTCCCACCCACCTGGACAGGCCGGCTGCTCCCTCTAAAGGAAGAGGCCCCTGTCCAGCTGGAATGTTCCCATGAAAGGGAGTTTACAAATACCACCACCACCCACACACAAACAGCACCTGGCTCAGATCCTCCAGGGATCATGGAGTCGCATCTATCTAGTTGCCCAGCTTATAGTGGCTGCCCTTTCCTGCCCCAGGTTGGTGGATAACCCAGCATGTCCAGGAATGGACCACTCAGATCCCAGGAACATCATCCCTCAGACTCCTGCACACCACCACTATGGCCTCCACCAGTGTCCTGATCTCCTGAGCCTAGGTTTTCCCTGTGCAGCCACCAGGTCCTGTTACCTCCTTTCCTATACTGTGTATCCACTGTGGCTCCCCGGGGCCATCGAGACCTGCACCCTCCAGCTGGCACAGAGCTTCAGGCACGATCCTGTCTCTGCAGTCAAGCCCTCAGTCTGCTCCCCCACTAGCCTACAGTCCCCAAGGACACTTTGAATGTGCAGAGAAGGTGAACCCCCAAGGGTGTCTCTTCCTTTCTGGACCAGGGATTTCACGTGGACTCTGGATGCTGCCACGTGTCCTGTACTCATAAGGTGCAAAATGAGCCACGGCCAAGTATCCCGTGCGGCACTCCAGGACTTCGGTGTTGATGTGGCTCCGTGGAGTCCCTCTGTGTGGGCTTTAGACCCTGTTCGGCTCTAGCCTCTGTCCCTCTGCCCACTGTGGAGTACCAGACATCCCCTCACTGTCTTGGTGAGGGCTGCAACCCTGAGGGAATGAGACAGTGCAGAGTCCAGAAACTTCGCCCGGCTCACAAGCCCCCAACACACACAGGGCCAATGCTAATGGAGGTGACAGGCGGGCAGCCATGGGCAGATCAAGAAGAGAAGGTTAATGACTGAAATAAGCCTCCAGCTGAGGGTAAAGGCAAGACCTACACCAGGAAAGACCACCAGGCCCCTGTCCTAGTGAAGGACCCTATTAGGGTTTGGTGCTAAGACTGGAGGCTCTCTCTACTCTAGAGAAGAAAGAGCTGCTGCTCAGGGGGAGTGTGGGCAGGGTCTTAGGTTCAGGGTGACAAGCCCAAACACAAAGCTAGGGGTCTCAGCCACCATCAGGAAGTGGGGCCACTTCCTACAGCTCATGGTCCCCCATTCCTAGAGGGATGAGTGGAAAGCCCCAGAAGAGGCATGATCCAAGGCAGGAGAGGAAGGGGAAATCATGAGAGCCTGGATGTGCCTGAGAGCCCCTTGGGCAGAAAGTTGGGGGCTGTCAGGCACACCAAGCTCTCCAGATCTCCATGAGCAAGTCCAGGGCTTGTTTCCCTTCTAGGAAGCACAGAAATATGTCCAGGTGATAGAAACCCTTAGGGTCATTTTTAGGTGTGGTTTCCCCTTCCCCTCTCGCCCACATTTCTGAAAAGGCTCATTTAAGGTGGTACTACTGGGCATATGGGCCCCTCAGGTTCCCTCCTACTTTTCCCATTCTGGACATCAGCATATATTCTATCCATCTCCCTTCTCTGTGCCTCCATAGAGCTGGCCTAGGCAGTGATCACCCCTAGGGCTATCAACCTCATACCTGAGATGCTATATGGCATGTCACTGGGTTTCTCCTGCAGACTACAGGTTCACTGAGCTGCACCAGGCTTTGCTCCCTGCGTGCTGAAGCCAGGCCTTCCCTGGACAGTGACAGCACCCTCCAGCCTGCCCCTGGTGTTACCAGACAGAGGCTGTTCCATGATTCCCAGAAAGGGCATGGCTAGAGAGTACAGAGCTGTTCTTGAGAATAAGGGGCTCATGCCTAGTGTCCCCACTCTCCTTGTCTCAGAGTGACTTGAGTCTGCCATCGTCTCTAGTTAGTGCCCATGAGAAGCTGGACTCCTGGCCCCAGGACTACTGGCACAATGACCGCTCAAGCTGTCTCCCAGCCCCAGGCCACCTGCATGGTCAGATGGTTAGCTGGGCCAGGCAGGCAGAAAGGAGAATGCTGTACGATCCATAGCAGCACTTCCAGCTCTGGATGTCCCGCAGCTGGGGGTGGGCTGCTTCCAAGGAAGGTGGCATGGAGACAGGAGGAAACTAGACTGGGCAGCCCTGCTCCTTGACCAGTAACCCTTGAACTTTGGCCAACAGCTGGGCCCTGGCTATTATGTCTGCCACACAGACATGAGAACCAAGTCCAGGTTCACGGGACCAGAAGTACTGAACCCTCAGTGCCCTCCACCCCTGTGTAGTGACCCAAAGTCACTAGAGAGATTTCCCTTCTTCCACAAGATCTGAACTGGAGAGATCTCAGGAGTCAGTAGCTGGGTCCTGGGTCCCCAAGAGTCTCTTGACCTCTGGGCCTCCGCAGCACAGGCCTGGGGTAGTAAACACCCTTTCATGCTTGAAATGCCATGCAGCACACCTGTGGGCTAAGGTGTCCTCCCCACTCATAGGCAGACTCCAGAAGGAGAGAGAGAGAGAGAGAGAGAGAGAGAGAGAGAGAGAGAGAGAGAGAGAGAGAGAGATTATCTGTCCCTGTCCATGCCATGCCCACTGCCCACATGCACCTCTGAAACTCACCAGTTAGGCAAATTTCCCTGGGATCTGACTAGGAAGTGTGACCCCAGATGTTAAGTTTTGACAACCCAGGAGCAGCTCTGGCCACGAAGACATTAAAGGGAAGGAAGTTCCAGCATCTATAGTGTGCTGGGCATTCCAAACCCTCCAGGAAAAGCCACCAGAGGGGATGAGGTCCTTCAGACAGTTGGCACAGGCACTGGATGTGTCCTGAAGCAGGGAGGAACCTCCTAGGAAGTGGAGAGTGAGGGCTGGGAGTGGCATGATGAATCCAGGGGTGGGGGGGATGTTAGTGCATAGTGACCATTAGCAGGCAGAGCAAGGGGCGTGGGAGACGCCTCGTGTTTGGAGTAAAGGAACCACACAGGCGCTCTGGCTTGCCCAGGGGAAGCTGGCAAGGACACATAGGTTCCACCGCCTGAGCTCTGGGCTCGGCCCCTCCTGGTCCGCTCTGGAGGCCCCCTATCCTAGGGTTCAGCCCCCAGGCCCTGGTTTGGGTGGACAGGCGGCTGTCAGGGGCCAGAGCCCTGACGGATGTGTGCTGACGCCCCCTCTTGCCGCTGCGGGGACCCGGGAGACTTGGCTGCCTCTGCGCACCCCCGCGGCAGCCTGCAGGCGTCGGGGGCGGGGACGGTGCCAGGAGCCCCTCACTCGGCCCGCACCTGCGCGCCACTCCAAGCTCTTGTAGCACCGTGGCGTGTCCGGCCTCGCTCCCTCCAGGAGCGGTCCCAGCGCGTCCACTGAGTGTACCGGGCGGCGTGCAAGGAGGTGGGAGCCGTCTGCGGCTGAGGCTGTCCCGCCTCCCTTGCCCAGCCTGGTCGGAGGTCGCTGCGTTTGGGAGCTCGCGCAGTGGCGCACGCGCTTCGCTGCCAACTTTGGTGGGCGCCTGCGAGACGGCGTCGGGGGACGCGGAAGGCGGCGGCGGCGGCATCACGGATTCGCTACCGCTTCCAGCTCTGGACCTCAGTTACCCTGTGGTGTCCGCAAGTGGGAAGTTTGCCCCTCCACGGGGCCTGGCGCACACTTGGCAGACGCCATAGGATCCGTTCGGCAGACGCGGTAAGGCAGACGGGCGGCACTTCCAATGAAGTTGGGGCTCAGGCTCCGGACGGAATGCGTGGAAAGGGCTGCTTGTGATCCCAGCACCTTGAGGGATCATCAGGGCGGTGCCCGCAGCGGGGAGGCAAAAGAAAGGTTGTAGGGTCCCAGCTGTCCACCTCAGCTCCTGTGCCCATCCCTGTAGGGTACTGAATCCCAAGAGGCTTAATGAATGGGTGGGCTGGCCCCTCCAGCTATTAGTTCTCCTGACCAGGCACGCAGCCAGGGTGTCTGGGAGCACAGGCCAGGTCATAAGTTGGGGCTGGGACTGGGTGGCGGCAGGATGCGTGTGCCTTTGTGTATGTGTGGTGTAGGGATGTGCACTGTAGTGGACCAGTGCCCAGCAGCATCCTGTGGGTCTTGGAGAGGTCAGCACCTCGGTGCCTAGTCTGGAGGGAAACACAGGAGGAGCCCCAACCCCTGGGTCCAAGGCCCCGGGAGGACCCCCAAGTCCGGGCTGGGAGGTGGGTTGAGCGGTAACACCAATCAGCACAGCTGTGTGGCTCCCAGGGCTGGGTGATCGATGGCCCCCGCACAGACGCCTCTGTTGCCTGAGCACACATGCCTATCTGTCATCACATCTTGCGGGGGGCGGGGGGGGGGGGGATGCAGGCAGGAGAAGAGGCTGCTTCCTCTGTACATGCCAAGTCCAGGCTGGGTCTGCAACCCCTCAGGGAGCCTCTGACCCTTTCCTGAGCCAGCATCCACCTCCCAACCTAAGAGTCTCCCTCAGCCTGGGTTTGCCCCATCTCCAGAGCCCAGCCTGGCCATGCGGACCCTCCTGTATGGTCCCAAGCCTTTTGATATGCAGTGCTTTTCACCCTTCTAGCTGCCCAACTAAGAGGTGCCAGCCTGATCTTTGGTGAGAATAAAGGTGAATATCTACCATGGGCAAAGTGCAATGGCCAGTATGCAAGAAAGCTGAGTTCAGCCACTGCCTTCCCCTCCCAATCCTGCTACTCAAATCATGAGGCTCATGTGTGTCTGCAGCTATGATGATTCTTTGACCAAGTGTGAGTCACAGCCGTGTCTGCATGGGTCTTCCGGCACAGTCTGTAATGTGGGTACACCCTTGTGAACAGCCATATCCATTCCAAGTGGGAAGTGGTATGGATGTGTGTGCCCTTGGTGGCACACCCTGTGCCGGTTAGTTCAGCCAAGCAGGAGTTGTTCCTCCAGGCATAGAGCAAGAATTCCTTGGGAATCTTGCACGCTTGTATGCACACACCCAAAGCCTATGTGCACACGCACCATGCACAAGCGCTGGGATCGTGGACAACCCAGGTGGTGGCCCAGATGGAGTGAAGAGAAGCTTCTGAGCCAGTGTGCAGGGCGTGAGAAGACGAGGGTCTTGGCTGAGTGCGGTCACTGCAGGCTCAGTCACTGACCTGCCTGAAGCCACCCAGATGGAGCTGGGCTGAGCAGGTGGCTGTGCCATGAGGCCATGCTGTGACATCCACTCCCCCCAGCCTGGGTTGGGGGACCTCATGTGTGGCTGACCCCCCCTGAGGGACCTCCAGTGTCCACTTGACACTCTGTTAGCTGGCTTGGCCATACATACATACACTCACACACACATTTGCACATGTAGTATTAGTCAGATCTCAAAGTTTCTAGTGGCTTCTAATCTCGGTCTTTGCTTCTGTTTCTGGCAGGGGCAGGTGGCTCAACCACGAAAGTGTCTCTAGAGGGCCATCAGACTGGTGGCTCTGGTCACACACGGCTGCTTTCATTCTCTTACCAAATGCTCAGTGGGTACCTGCCTGGTGCAAAGAACAGAGACTTAATGGGGACCCGTTATCCCAGCAACTGGCCTGCGGGGCCATCTTGGCCCCAGAAGTGGGCATTTGTACAGGGTCACTTGCTAAATAAAATACAAGACACCCAGTTAAGCTTAAATTCAGAAAAACAATGAATATTTTCTTAGTACAATTTCTAGGTCCTCCTTAGACCATCCTTAGATTACAAACTTATTTATGTCTGCCTGGGCCAGAGTGGCTGGGCACCTTCATTTTCTTTTTTCTTTCTTTCTTTCTTTCTTTCTTTCTTTCTTTCTTTCTTTCTTTCTTTCTTTCTTTCTTTCTTTTGAAAGAATCTCACTCTGTAGCTCAGGATGGCCTGCAACTCACAGAAATCCCCCTGCCTCAGCTTCCCAAATTATGGGATTACAGGCGAGTGCTACCACATCCCCCTCCCAAAAGAATGAAGGACCCGGGCGGTGGTGGCACATGCCTTTAATCCCAGCACTTGGGAGGCAGAGGCAGGCGGATCTTTGTGAGTTCGAGGCCAGCCTGGTCTCCAAAGCAAGTTCCAGGAAAGGCGCAAAGCTACACAGAGAAACCCTGTCTTGAAAAAAGAAAAAAAAAAAAAAAGAATGAAGGAGGCCTTGAGGCAAGGCAAATGGGGGCTTCTTGAGTTCTGATGAAGGGACCCCTAGTGAAGATGAACAGAGAGTGAGAAGGCCTGGTGTTAACTGGGTCCTTGTCTCTCCTATCTGCAGGTGGCCATGATACCCAGGCTTGCCTGCTAGCGGGCTGCCATGTCTCGTGAGGCAGGTTCATGCCGAGTGGGCACTGGGACAAGGGCACGGTCAAGGAAGCCCAAGAAGCCACACTACATTCCACGGCCCTGGGGCAAACCCTATAACTACAAGTGTTTCCAGTGTCCCTTCACCTGCCTGGAGAAGTCCCATCTCTATAACCACATGAAGTACAGCCTCTGCAAAGACTCCCTCTCTCTACTGTTAGACTCTCCTGACTGGGCATGCCGCCGTGCGGCCCCCTCGCCCAGGCCTCGGGTGCCCACCCCCAGCGGCCCCACAGACTTCTCAGAGCCTGGTAGTCAGCCTACTGGGCCGGATCTCATTGACAGCCTTTCCCAGCGTCGTTGTGGCAGGGGCCCCAAACCTGGACCAGAAGAGTCCCCAGGGTCACTGCCCCCTCTGGCTAGAGCCATCCGGAAGGGCCCAGGCCCCAGTAGTCTCTTGACAGAGTCATGGAAGCCAAGGCTGAGTGGTGGTGGTCTCATGAGTGAGGCTCTCGGGGCTGTAGCTTCAGCAGGTTCTGAGAGTAGTGCCCCCTGCTACCCACCCCCTGCCCAGGGAGAGTTCCCTGAAGCCCAGAGCCTCCACCTGTCTTTGCTGGGTGTCAACTACCCTCTTGGCCCAGGCCTCTTCTCCTATCTGGGGCCCTCGCTGGCGGCTGCCGCAGCCCACATGCCCTTCCTGGCCTCAACAAGCCCCTTGCTGCCCCCCGCAGCTTTCCCAGCCCCACAAACACCCGAGCGCCCAGGCCTGGCCCCCCGCCTGTACTACCCACTGCTCCTAGAGCACAGCCTAGGACAGTCAGCAGCCAGGGCTGCCCCTGCCAAGCCCTCTGTGCCCCTCAAGGGGCCTCCCGGGGCTCTGGCTGCTCCTGGGCTGCTGAAGGTGCCTGTGCCAGGGCTGGGGGCACCTTGGCCTCATGGCTTGTCCAGAGACCCAGGGCACGAAGGAGAGCCGGATCGGGTGCCTCAGAGCAACCAGCAGAAGAGGCTGCCCCCGGGCAGCATGCCTGAGCTCCCAAAGGCCCCCTCGAACCTGGCAAAATTTGGCTGTCAGAGCAGGTGGGTATCAGGAGCTTTGGGTCTTGGGGTGGGGGTGTCAGGGGTGGGCTGAGTGGGAAACTAGGCCACCTTTAGCTTACTCACTAGGAGTAGAGACTCTGGGTCACAGAGGGACCTGATACCCAAGAGTCCTTTTTCTCTCTTTTCTTCTGGATGTCCAGTTCTAGACTGGGTCCTCTTTTCCCTGGGGTATGGGTGACACTGAGCAGAAGAAATAGGCTGAGGTTAGTGGGACTTTAGGGGGCAGGATAGCCTTCTGACTGGCTTCTATTTCTCAGCCTGCCAACAGGCACCTCCCTGATATTCTGGCCTGAGGACAAGGAGCCAGGTAACCCTGAGGCCCCAGGCCCTGAGGTCCACCTTCTGCAGCAGTCACAAGGCCACGCACTAGGAAGTCCGGGCCCAGTGGGAGAGGACCTGAGCCAGGCCTTTGGTGACTATGCCAGGGTGGAACAGTGCTTGGGGCAGCTGGCACCGGCTGGGGATCTAGCCCCTAGACCTCTACGGGAGCAGCTTGGCAAGATTCGCCGCGAGCTGTTCAACATCCATCAGGCGCTGGCCCGGGCAGCTCGGCCACTGGACACACCCCTGGACCTCTCAGTGAAGCGGGTGCCTACCAAGGGAACTAAGGCGCCTTCAGAGTCCTGGGGGCTGCCTGATCCAAGCCCCATGCTGGCAAGGGGGGCCTCTGAGCCCTCCAGCATACTGGGCCCAGTCCTTGAGCCTTTCTCTAGCCGTACCACCAAGTGTGAGGCTGACTCCAGCGTCCCTCCTCCTGTCCTCCCGCTCCAGGCCCCTGAGGACCATGTAATTCCCGGTGGCGGCTGGGGTAACCGTCTTGGGGCTGGCAGCTCCCAGACCCCTAAAGATACCCCTAGCTTGCAGATCCTCCCAGGTGCTGAGGTCTGTCCACAGCCACCTTAATGTGTGGGCTCATCTCCCTGACCTGGGCCCCATTGTCTGGGCCTGTCCAGTGTCGGTGTGCATGTATTCTGGCCAGATACCCCCGTTCCCCCCACTAGCTCATGGTAGAGGTTTATCTCTGGGGTCACTTGGACATAACAAGGTCATGATTTATTTATTGAACAGAGTTGTGGACATTAAAATAGAAACCACCTTCAAACACCCTGCTTGGGCTTCTTTCCTTTTCTGTCCCTGCATAAGCACCTCAAGGAAACGTACCTGGCCTGAGCATCCCAGTGAGCAAATGTCTTAGACACCATGCTGGGGGTCACCTTTGGCCTCAAAGTCCTCATTCTGGACTTCGTTCTTCCAAAGACTCTGGAGCCAAGGGGTGGGCTGGGTACACACACTCATTTAGGGGACTCAGGGAAGGGTGGCAGAGAGGCAGACATGTCAGGATGACCTGGCCTATTTCGGCTCACTGGGGATGGGCAAGGACCCTGCTCGTCCTTGGGTCTGAATCCATCCAAGCAGCCCAATGCCAGCTTTGCCTGTGGTAGCCAAAGCCTCCTGCCTTCTATGGCTCTAGGCTGCTCACCCCGTGTGGCCTTCCTGGGCCCCCCGCCAGCCCCTGCAGCCATGATAGGCATCGGTGGCCTTCACAGCTCACTGCTTCCCTCCCAGTACAGCCCTGCTTGGCTTTCCACAGGTCAGGGTGGGAGACAGCCAGGGAGGGCTTCTGGGGCCCCCCAGCCATAGCAAATTACTTTTCTCCCTGGGGAGCTGGGCTATAGCCTCCATGCCCACTCAGGAATGCCCTGAAGTACAAGCTGCCCTCGGAGGAGGCACTGTTCTCACCGGGGCTGGACTGGCCAGGCTGGGGCCAGTCCAAACAGGACCTTCAGCTGCTCCATTAACCATCTACCTGGTGATAGCATCAGGTAGCCACCCCACTGTGAGGCATGACAGGTGGTGTTGGGGCTAGAGTTCTGGCTGGCCAGACCAGGGTGCTGTACCGCTGCAGGCCAAGGCTGACAAATGCTAGCTGGACGCCATTGACCTGGAGGCTTCCTGGGGAACTACTGGGGGCAGAGCCAGACGTCCAAGGAACCTCAAGTCCTAGATCTGAGACAACTTCCTCTCAGCACCCCCATGAGCCTACTGCATCCCGGTTTCTGATCCCGGGAGGCAACACCGTCAGCTTCACAGGAACAGAGATAGGACTAGCTTGACCTCCTGGTGGAGGTGGCAAGATGGTGAGCAAGGTTTGGTCCTGATGTAAATGTCCTGCCGGGAGGGGTGGCCTATAGTTGCAGAGGACTATGGGTACCTTCTGGAGAGGGCAGGCTTGTCTGAGAGACATTCAGCTCTGAAGGGGCAGTAGGAAGTGTCCAGGGTAAGGGTGAGGCCCAGAGGAAGACCCAAGCAGGAGGGTACAGGCCTGGAGGCTGGGACTCAGTCCAAACAACCCCTCCCTGCCTCCTTGCTCACCTTGTCCCTGCAGGGGACTTGTCAGGTGACTCCTCCCCTACTCTCCCTCCACTCCATACCCACACCCGGGCTGTCTCCAACAACAGAAGCATGAATAAAGTCCTGAGGCCAGAGCAGCAGCCTGGCCCTCGGTAAGGGATATCCTGGTCTCTGTGGAAGGGGCAGGTGGAGAGCCCTGAGCGGGCTGGGGTTTGGCTGTCTCTCTGGTCAAACGGAGGGGCTGTGGTGGGAGACAGGGACACTAACTGGAGCTTAGGCCATCCCTGTGAAGGAGGAGTCCCAGGGCTGGTGAGTTTGAGAAATGCTGCTTACTGTTTCCCCTCACCCTCCCTCCCAAGCTAGGACACTGCTATATCTGTGATTTGGGCCTTAGAGGAAACCTTTGACCTTCTGGAGCGGGTAGTCTCTCTCTGACCACTGTGGCAGACACCTTGGCACCTGTGTGGCTGGCTGCTGGGCTTGGGGACCAGGTGAGCACTCAGAAGTAGGAGGAACCGAGCATGAATACAGCTCAGCCCTTACCCTCCCCACAGTTCTTCACCGGTACAATAGAAGGGTACCAGCACCCATCAGCCACCGTCGGCACATCTGCAGCTGCAGAGAAGCTGAGACTGACTGACTTGCTGCCCTTGGCCTCCAATCTGTCCTGACCCCTTGACCTCCTGGGCCACCCCTATCTCCAGCCACCTACATCCCAGGCCCTGCTTGATCTCAGGCTGGACCAACAAAGAGAGGCCAGTTGCTCCTGGCAGCCCCGGCTGCTGGGGCAAATCCTGGTGCCAGCGGGGGCTGCAGGGGCCCCCCGAGGCCTGCATTGCTCCCCAGATGGCCTGCTCTTCTTGACGGCTGGCGCTGCATCCTGTGTCCATGTGCTGGATCTGGAGGGACGTTCCATTTGTCAACTATCCTGCTGCATGCCTAGAACCGGAGCCTTTGTTCCAGAGGATGTGGCTGTGACAACTTCGGGGCTTGTGGTGGTTAGCGACCTCATCCATGGGGCGGTGTCTGCTCTTCAGTACACTTCCCGGGAACCCCAGGGCCGCTGGGTGACTGTAGGCACATTCTTGTCCCCCCGAGGGCTGGCTGTGGATGCCTTTGGCCACTTCCTGGTGACAGACTACTTGCCTGGAACTGTGCACAGCTTCATGTTGGGACCAACTTGGGAGACCCTGGCTCCAGCCTCTATGCTAGGTCTGGAGGGCCCCTGTTGGGTAGGTCCAGGGCCTGATGGGGGCCTTGCTGTGAGTGAAGAGTTTGGGGATGTGCAGCTGTTTGGCAGTGCCCACCAGCGTCTGGGCTCCCTGGGAACCTTGACTGGGCATAGCTTTGGCCATCCAGCGGGTGTGTGCTCTGACTCGGAGGGTAGCATTCTTGTGGCTGATGAGCAGAAGCACCAGGTAACCCTGTTTCCCCGGGTTGGGCCACCCATCTGCTTGCAGTTGGAGGGACTGGAGAGACCCTTGGGTATGGCCTGTACTCCCCAGGGCCAACTGGTGGTGGCAGATGCAGGGGACAGCTGCATCAAGGTGTACCAGTATCTTGGAGAGATGGCCTGAGGGTAGGCTCTGGGGAGAATAGCCCCTTGCTATGACTGGCCAGCCCTGAGTCCTTTGTATTATCCTAGAAGTTTGGTGGGCTCCTGGGGGGATGCTGAGCCTGCTCTGACACCTGGCCTTAGCTGGCCTTCTGATTTCCCCTTGGTAAGTGCTCCTGTCTACTCAGCAGTCATGAATCACCACCTCCCCATGAGGCTCTAAACTAGGCCATCTCCATATCCCTGTTCAGTATGCCCCTGGCCCTTTATGCCCCCAACCCACAAGGGCCACCCAGTCCCTAGCTGTGCTAGCTTGGGTCTCAGGAGTCCTGAGCTTTCAGGCGACACTTGAAGCTACAGATCCTGGGTGCTGAGCCCATCCGCCAGTGCATAGCCAGGCAACATCTCCTGCCAGGTGCCCCAACCCTAACATCCTAATCAGAGGCAGGCAGGCAGGGAGGGAGGGTGTGGCTAGCAGGGCTGGGCAGCTTGGGGCAAGGGTGTGGTCTCTTAGTGCCCCAGCCCGGAGCCTCAGAGACATCCCCATTCTTGAGCCTCCAGCAGCAACTCTGGGCCTAACAGAGGTAAGGGGTAGACAAATTAGAGGGACAAACCCTGGAAGTGTCCTGGAAGGAACACATGGCAAGGGGTGGGTCTCAAGGTCCTCTCCTGTACATATCCCATTTTGAAAGAGGTCTTCAGTTTCTCCTGCAATCCGGGTCCAAACCACTCTTGAGCTCTTGGGTCGGGTACCGGGTGGCACAGTCCTTTCTTTCATACTCTTCCATTCAAGACAGGAAAATGTTGGCCTTTCCTCCCATGTTACAAATGAGATCTGGAAGGGGAGGAGCGTGTGTGTGTGTGTGTGTGTGTGTGTGTGTGTGTGTGTGTGTGTGTGTGTGTGTGTGTGTGTGTGTGTGTGTGTGTGTGTGTACTCAGTGAGAATCCGGGTTTCAGTCCGCCCCTTCAGGGTGTGGGATGGCACAGTCAGCCTGTCATCTGGACATTGAGATCTGTGGTTTATAACACCACACCTGTCGCCCCTCCAGGTTATTCCAATATGCCCTGATCATTATGTTGTGGGGGATTAATGGACAATGTAAGATCTTTGCGTGTAAGTAAATGCTCAATAAACAGTTGCTGCGTTTTTAGGGATATTGTTCTCGGACTAAGCGGCCCAAATATGTCGGCGTGCACCCTACCTGCAATGCAGAGAGATGGGAGGGCCCGGGGCTTAGGAGCCTAGGCAGGGCATGAAGGTGAGAATAAAGCGACCTGGGTCCCTAAAGGCTGGTTTCACCCGGTCTTTCAGGACATTTAAGGCGGGTGTAGGTTTGATGGCTGGAGTCGCGCGCGCGGAACTCTCGGGTTCAGTTGGTGGGCAGCCCGGGCACGTTTGGGGACGGACCGTCGCGCGGCAACGCGCGGAGCCGGCGGAAATGGGGCTGATGTCCCGCGGCGGGCCTGGGGGCCGCGAGCATCGACGTCCTCCCGGGCCCGCCGGACGCGGTTCCCAACCCAGTCCCTTCCCTACCGCTCGGGGACGCGGCCCAGGGAAGCAGCCGGTGAGCACTAGGGGGCGGCGGGACCGGGAGAGGAGGAGGAGGAAATGCCGAGGCAGTGCAGGCCTCTTGGTCCTCAGTGCCTGTCTCCTAATACTCTTGAGATGGGAAATCCGGAGGCCGGAGAGGAGGGAGCGGCGGCCAGCCCGCGGTTGACCTCCAGGCTCGGCGGCATCCGTGTGGGTCTGGCCTGCAATCCGGAGCTTGAGGGCGCCAAGCTGCTCCTCCTCCCCTCCAGGAGGGCACTAGCTGGAAGATTCCTGGAGCACCAGTGGAGAGGTTCACACTTGTCCTTGACCCCCAGTAAAGATCGGAAACAGATTTACCCCCTCCTTTTGAAATGAAAAAGGAAAGCATTTAGAGAAGCAAGAAAGTGTTTCTGGACAGGTTCTCTTAAAGTCCAGATTGGCCTCCGAGTCCCAATGTAGCAAAGGATAACCTTGAATTTTTGATCTTCCTGCCTCCACTTCTCGATTATAGATAATGCACTACTACTACCGGTTTATGAGGTTCTGGGGACTGAGCCCAGGGTCCCCTGCAGGCTAGGCAAGCAAACTACCAACTGAGTTACATCTCCAGCCAGAAAAGTGGTGTTTTTTTTTTTTTTTTTGTTTTGTTTTGTTTTGTTTTCCGTTTGAACGCAGAGTAAATATGAACCCTCGCAAAGATTCACAAAGGAGACTTTCAGCTATGATGTGTCCCTGGTCCCTCTTAACTGGGCCATCCCTCAAACCTGTCCATGCAGGGGAAGTAAGCAGTAGTTCAGCTTCTACTGAAGTCTGACTTGGAGTTCTACAAAGAGACTTCCTGAGGCCTCTTTTATTAAACCCATCTGGGAATGGGCTGTAGGGAGGGAACTGACTCTTTCCTAGCAGAGGCAGCTTTTCCAGGTGTGGGCTGTTCTTTTAATCAGCGTCTTTAAAGATGTTCGCACTGCCCAGGTTTCTGCCTTCTCTCTGCGGCCTCTCACCTTCTCTTGTATCGATTGGCTGCTCTTTTATCTTTTTTCTGCTGCTGGAAGCACACTCCTTTACACTCCAGTAGTTCCGGAGACTAAGTTGGAAGTGAGGGTGGGAATTTGCCCCATAACTACTTGAGTTCTTTCAGTACCTCACGGATCAGAACACCAACCCCTGCCTACCATCTTTCCTTTGACCCGGGATGCTTTTTTATTTTGCTTTACTTTTAAGGTAAACCGTAAGTGAAGCATGCTCTACAAAAAGATGTGCACAAATTATATGTACAGCACATTGAATTTACTCATTGTGAACAGACTCAAAACTACTCCCCCACCCCAGCATCTGTTTATAATTAGAACAAGGACATTTCCCTTCCCACACTATTGAGAGCATTTTCCCTTAGTTCCTGTGAAGTGGTCCCCAGGAGAGTCAGATGGTTTTTCACTGAGCTGGTGTGTTGTTACAGAAAAGCTTGGGCTGTGCTGAATGGTCTCCTGTGACAGTGGTCCGCTGGGGCTCTTCCAGGCAAAATCACTCTAGAACCCTTCCCCCTTTTTCTGTTGCTTTTTTGGGGGGGTTGGTTTTAGAGACAGGGTTTCTCTGTGTAGAACTGGCTGTCCTGGAACTCACTATGTAAACCAGGCTGGCCTCGAACTCACAGATCTGCCTGTCTCTGCCTCCTGAGTGCATTAAAGGTATGGGCCACCACCACCCAGCTTGCTCTAGTACATTTTACAATGCATTACTGCCCCCATGTCATGGCCCTCTGGAGACGGTTCCCATGGAAGTGACAAGAGAAATTGGTTCTTGACACTGGGCATGGGGATTTGGCCAGGGCTGGTGTTGGGCATCGGGATTTCTCTCTGGACACCCACCAGTTGCCTGCCTTCTCCAGGCACTTTGGAGTTTGTTTACTGGAGACTCCTGGTTTGGAGTTCTTTTTTTGGGGGGGGGGTTATTTCAATTTACAGGTGATATGGTTTGTAGTTCTATGGAGAGGCTTCCTGAGTCTTCCTTACTTGACCCACCTGGGACTGGCTGTTGGAAAGAGCTTTTTTCAGGCTTGGGTTGTTCTTTGAATCAGCATCAGCATTTTGAAGTCCTACAGCTCAGCTCAAGGGTGCCTTTAGAACACTCCGCTTTGGACTGAGCTTATAGCTCATAGGAGGCCCTCGGTCTTGAAAATCCTTAGTATTACAAAAACAAAAAGCTTTTCTAAGTTGTTCATGCAAGTCTTCTCTGGGCTGGCTTACCTGCAGGAAGGGGAGCAGCTGCATCTGGGTCCCTCAAGCCCTGGGCATTTGTCTGCAGGACAACTATACCTCGTGTCCAAGGGTTTTGTGTGAGCCCTAGACCGGGCAGCTGGAGTTCATCACAAGATCTGTGTCTTCCTCAGGAAAGGATCCAAAATGGGGGGGTCTTTGCTCAGGGTTGCTGTGTCCTTCATATGGGTAAGATGGGGTGGTAGCTTAAAAAAAAAAAAAAAGGCACATGTAGTACCCAAACCCTGCTGACCACACTTGAGTCAGTTCAGCAAGGATGCCTGTGAGGAAACCCACCATCCTAAATAGCTCCCTTCTGTGGAAGGAAAGGTGTAGGGTCCACAGAATAAAGGATTTGTAGCTGCTGTGGTGGTTCTTGATGCTCAAAGGCCACATCAAGATCCCGAGAGGCCAGGAGGGCTGGTGTTTCGCTCAGAGAACATGTGTTAGCATTCTCCCATGGAGAGGAATACTGCCCTGCTGGGAGTCCCATCTTGAGGTGTCTGACAGGATTCCAGAGGAAGATGAACACTACCCAGATATGCCTCAGGTGGGTAGAAGGCCGAGTAGAGACAGCTCTACCACTAAGCCACATCCTCAGGCCCCCTTTTTCCCTTTTAAGATAGAGTCTCACTACATTAACCCTGTGTAGCCCAGGCAGGCCTTGAATTTGAACTCCTGCCTGAACTGTTCTCTGAACCCAGTGGCAGGAGGACATGCTCTCTGCTACAGAAGGAGAGATTCCTTCTGAGTCCTAGGCCTTAGACTCAGCTCTAAACCAGTGCTCTATGTGTGCATTTGGTTTTCCTGAGCCCCAAACAAGTTTGTTTTGTTTACTTTTATTTTGTTTAGTTTTTGGTGGTATTAGATCAGACTCAAAACGCTGGCCATGCTAGGCAAGCACTCTACCATTAAAAACTGTCCTGAAACCCTGTCTTGAAAACCAAAAAAAAAAAGAAGAAAAAGAAGAAGAAGAAGAAGAAGAAGAAGAAGAAGAAGAAGAAGAAGAAGAAGAAGAAGAAGAAGAAGAAAAGAAAAGAAAAGAAAAAAGAAAACCATCCTGAGCTGGAGAGATGGCGTATTGGCTAAGAGTACTGGCTGCTTTTCCAGAGGACCTGGGTTTAATGCCCAACACACACACACACACACACATCGCAGCTCACAACTGTCTGTAACTCCAGGGTTTCTGACACCTTCACACAGACATACACGTAGGTAAAACACCAGTAAACATAAAATAAAAATAAATTATATGAAAGAAAGAAAAAAAACATCCCTGGCCCTCTAAAACAGATTTAATACTTTTTTAGATTTACTTTATGCATATGAGGTTTTGCGTGCATGTATGTACGTGCATCACATGTGTGCCTAGGGCCCATGCATCTGCTAGAACTGAAGTTATGGATGAACCCAGGTCCTCTGCAAAAGCAACAAGTACTCTTAACTTCTGAGCCATCTCTCCAGCCCCAGGTTTAAAATTTTTATCTTAATTCTTGCTTAAGTAAATCCTGTTTGTTGCTATTTGAGACGAGGACTTATTTGTATTCCAGGCTTTTCTGGAATTTATGTGTAGGCCTGGCTGGCCTTGAGCTCACAGTGATCTTCCTGCTTCAGCCTTCTGAGTACTGAAACTAGTCAAAGAGCCATCCTTTCTTCTTTTTCTTCTCCTCTTTTTTTTATTTTTCTGAGACAGGGTTTCTCTGTGTAGCTTTGCGCCTTTCCTGGAACTCGCTTTGGAGACCAGGCTGGCCTCGAACTCACAGAGATCCGCCTGCCTCTGCCTCCTGAGTGCTGGGATTAAAGGCGTGTGCCACCACCTCCAGCTCTTCTTTCTTTTGAAGGCTGGCCTTGAACTCCTGGAACTCCTGCCTCTACCTCTCCATTGCTGGAATTACAGGTATGCATCACACAGCCTCCTTCTGGTTTGTTCAAGTTAGGATTTGTGTACATGCTCATACTGTGTGCTTTTACATAGGAAACTCATAAGGAAGCCTTTCTCATTAGGTCCTTAAAGACCTCAGACTCAGCCCCCCTACTGTTATCAGCGGCATCTGTCTGGGTACCTCACTTTACCCTGCTTCAGGCTGCTTGTTTCAGACCCTAAGGAAGCACTAGTCTGCCATCCAACATATAACGCTCTTCCTGGGTGGAAGAGCTTGGAAGAGTTCAGTCCCTGTGAGATGCCATGACCCACAGTCTCTGCCACCAAATCCGGAACTGTGCTTTCCCAACCTGTGGCCAGGTGAATGGTCCATAAGTGTGGCACAGCATCTAGCAGCCACAGAGTGGCAGCAGCTCTAAACCAACCTTTCCTTCTCTCTTCCAGGGTCCCCGGCATGGTGCTCAAGGCCTTCTTCCCCACATGCTG